AAATCTTCAGCTAGTGATTACTACACTTATTCAAGAGAAAGATCTGTTATACTGCATGACTATATATTTCATGAAAACTCTAGTTCAGATAATTTTATCCCATTTTGTATTTAATGTATAAATAAATTCATTTAATGGATCACAACCTGGAACTCCATGCTTTTGAAATTCCACAGTATTCTACTATTCTTAAAACATTGCTGTGTTTCTCCCTTTCTTGTAATTCTCTTTCTTTGCATGTTGTAGTCCTGTTACATACTGTTCAGGACAAACTCTGGAAAAATTTTTGCATCCTAGAAGGTGTTAACAGCCTTATTTTGGAGATTCCTGTTGTCATTTTGAGAAATTTCCACATGCATGCTGTCTGCCCTGTTCTTACTGGAAGCTTCAATACCTGGTTCTAGTAGGTAACCAGGTCCCTCTCTACAAGTATTCTTCAGACACAAAAGCACTTTCAGGGATTTGGGTTTGGGATAAGCTGATATATCTGGCTCCGGTAAGGAAAGCCATACCTTAGTACACAAGTTTAGTTACAAGCCAGATACTGACATAGGGAGTGCTGAAGGTGAATTTAAAGTGTGCACAGTGTATAGGGATATAAACCAATGCTTCCTGAGACAATCAGTTGCAAGGGCGAAGGAGCTGTGCTGGAGGAACAGGATCAAACAGTTCCCAAGTATGGGGTAGACAGCAGGGAAGGTCGCTTGTAAAAGTGCTGGAGACATAAGATTGTCAGGCTGAAGAATTGTCTCAGGCTGAAAAAGAAATTACAGCCTGCCGTGTGCACCATCTCTGAGAATTAAGATGTGGGTGACCACTGTACCAGAAGGTATGGTGAACAACATAACTTTGCCTACTGTCTGATCTTCAGCCTTTCTTGTAACATACCCCAAAAGAAGAAATAACCTTTCATAGCATTTTACTGCTGGATATAAATGGACCCTGAAACATCCCTTCCTATGAGTAGAAATACAATTCACACAGAAAACCCAAACCAACCAACCAACTAACCAACAAAAATTATGTTAATATAAAGCTTTATAGTATAATTAAAATATTTTTATGTAAAGAGTAATAGCTTATAACAGAAATTATTCTCAGATGACTTCCAGTACTGCTTTCTGACAGTATGGGAAGATAGTGTTTACACCAAAGACTTTGAAGTCAAAGATTTGAAAAATACAATCCCAGAAATGCCTTCATAAGTCAGTTTATATCCTGTGAAAATGCTGTAAATGAAACAAACACACTCTGGTACCACATCTAATCCCAGTAATGTAGTGGCCATGTTGGAATTCGTACCTATTTAATTCTGTAATACACTGAGGGTCATGTCTTGTGTCACTGTGTGTATATAGACCACTTCTCTTCCCACTCATGATTATGTAACTGAAGCATATATTTGCATGATATATTTTTATTAATACTTAACATATTTATGTAATTTTTAATGCTGTCTAGCAGTGGGAAATCAAGAGGTCTGAAAAAGTCACAAGTGGCATCAGCCGCAACCTTGCAGAACTCCAGCTAATACTTTGAAGAACAGTAGCAATCCTAGAACCAGATTTTCCAGATAAATGTGTATAAATTTGATTTACCATTTATTGATGTATTGAAAAGACATATAAAAATAAAAGGAGAAGAATCTCTACTTAATAATCAAAACTTGGTTTACTAAAATAGGTAAGGGCATTTGTTTGTGTGTGAGTCTATAGATTCTTTGCCAGCATTAACAACTGTAAACTTAGCTTGATAATAACCAGGCAAAGATTATAAAATCAGTAATGCCAGCTGCCTGGCCTGTGTACAATCAGGCTTTCATGAAAAATGTGGGGACTGGATTTGACAGAGCCAGAAAGCAGCTGTTCTCAACAGCACGCTTCCGCTCAGAAGCTGCAGCGATCTGAGGGAGAATTAATGCTCCTTTTCACATTACTGCACCCTTTTAGTGGTCCTTGTGGCAGCTGTTGCTGTGCTTCCCCTAAACACTCGAACTGGAGTTGTACTAGGATTGCATGCAGCAACTGGCAAAACATTCAGTAGGCAAAAGTCCTGATATTTCAGGGAACTGGACGAGGTATAGCATATGTTGTTTTCATAGTCTTTGTCCTTTCCTGGAGCATGAAGGATAATAATTTAGTCCCACACTCCAGCTGTCTATCTTAGAAGAAGTTGGCTATCTTATACTTGGAGGAAATGGCCCCTGTGGAAATAGAAATAAAATTTTCAGGCTTCTTGCTTTTACTATGCAATGATAGTTTAATAACTGGAGGTATATTTGCAGCTTTACCACTTTGCTAATAGTGACTGTGAGAAAGTTGTTTCATCACATGGTACTACAGTTTCTCCACATGTGGCATAGAAATAATTAAACTTACCTTCTTCATGGAACATCATGAAGTCCATGTAGAAATCTGGAAGCTGAAATTATTTTAAGAGCATTGGAAAGACCATAATGAGAACACAGTTTTTTATGGTTTTGACATCAATTACCACATATTTTCTTGCTAGCTTGGGCTGGCATGTGACAGTTGTGTTGGCAACTGGGACTGCAGCCCACATAACTGTTGAAAATACATATATACACATATATATACACACATGTATATACACATACATACATACATATATATATATATATACATATAAACATAAAAATGGAATTCAAAAGCCTTACCCTGTCATTTTACACCTGCTTGTCAGAAAGCATGACAGAGCAAACTTTTTCTGTCTTTTTTTCTGTCTTTTGCAGAGGTATTTGGGGAAATGCTTGATCCTGTGTTAGCTGAACTGACTTCTTCAAAGCTTTTACAGACAGAACTCAGTGAACATGAGCTGCTAATTAAAAATCTTCCTCTTGCTACTACAGTTAGTCAGCCTTAATTAATATATTCAACCTCCAAATTCATATTTGATTGTACTTTTAAATATGCATTAATATCAAGGTCATGGCCTCTCAAAAAGAGATGCTGTGACAGATTTTTTTGAACATTTGAAAAAACTGGAAATGTAGTTGGAGCCCACTAGATGTCAGTGTCTCCGTACAATAGACTACTGCAGCTCTGTTTGCTAGGCAGATAGCACTGGGTGTCCCAAAGTAGCGAGTACTTTTTTCTCCAAATGAGTCTTTCTACTCTAAAATGTGACGTCTATTCAGGCTTTGATATGAACTGAAATTACAACACTGATTGTTGCTTGGGAAAGTGAAATTTTAGATCCAAACACCCAGTACTCTGTCTCTGCTGGATATCCACTTCTGTGTGAGGCAGCGAGTGTCTAAGGATTGCTGGAGAAATCAAATCTGGTCAGTACTGCACCAGGTAGTGCATACAAGGATGGGAAAGGAACAGTGTATTAACAGGGTCACAGCAAATCTGCAGCTTTTGCAATAGCAGGCTATTGCCAAAATTAACCAATGAACAAAGAAACACACTGGAGTAGTGAATTTCTGACATGGAAATGAAAGGTTCAATTATACCTTTAGAGCAGATGAAGTCATGAGCTGTGACAAACACTCAGCAGTGTTCTTGTGGTATCTAAAGAAGCTTCTCTGAAGCACATCTCTTTTAATAAGGCATGCAATTATGTCATTGTGGATTAATTATTAATTATTTTCTACTCTGTGAATTGTGCCACTGTCATTAAAATGTGGTTTTGAGGACTGAAACTTGTAATTCATTCTTTGTTTAGGAGGTACAGAGTGCCGTACTAATCACCATGCTAATTAGCTCTCACTGCTGGATAGTGCTTGTGGTATTTTATAAACCATGACCAGATTTTTAGAAAATTGCAAAAACTTATTGCTTTCTTTTTAAAATAAGCCAATCTTATAGCAAGTCCTGGGCAGATAAAATTAAGGATTTTGTCTAAGGTACTGACTATGGTGTACCAAAGCCACAACTCATAACAGTGATGCTGAAGCAAAGGTCTGTCAGAGATGGTGAATTCTCAGTTCCAGGCTGCCGGTCCTATAGCGAACAAAGCCTTTGGCCTTTTGCACATGCAAAGATAAAATCTCCTTTGGAATTCAGGTACAATCAGGCACTCACTCCCGATAATGATAATGAAGTGATTTTATGTCTACTTGAATTTAAAAGGTTGAAATTTAGCATTTAATTTTTATTACCAGGCACACATGGCTAAGTAATATTTTCCAAAGAGTATATGAAGTGAGTAGCTGCCTTCTGAAATTCCATTGCCAGCAATAGAAGAAAATACACACCGGCATGTTTACAAAGGATACCGAAGGATATGTTTGATTTTTATTTTGATTATTTCTGTCAAGCTTATTTTTAATTTAAGTTGCTGACTCTGCTATTACTTAGAATATTATAAAGTAACATTTCTATCAATCTGATTTTTTAAACAAAATGTACAAATTAAAATTATGTATGAGTATATGTGTGTATGTACATATTTACCTTTGCACCTCTACAAATGATCGTGTTTGTGTCACATGATCACTCAGTTTTGCACAATTTATGATTTGAAAGTGATCTTTCCACATATCTGTTGCAGTGTCTCTGATATTTTATGAATTGCCACCTCATCTGAATGTGGTTATTTAAAAATATGTGGCTCTCTACAACGTTTGACAATGTATTGCCAAAACAGCGTCACATTCGGTCAGGTTACATGAATACTTCGTGTTTAACCTCAGAAAAAAAAAAAATTAAATTAATGGAAACACTCAGAAAACAATCATCTGGAGGATCTAAAGCTCCCCAGAAGTCTCCGGGTCTCTTGTCCGTCTGGGTCTGGCAGTAACCTCCTGAGGCGCCTTCGCATCGCACCCGCGCGCCTCCTTCTCCCGGGGCAGGGCCGAGGCCGCCTCGCGGGCCGCGGGAGCGTCGGGCAAGGCCGGCCCGGGGACGGCACCATTGCCTGCCCCCGCCGCGAGAGGGGCCGGCACGGCACCGGCACCGGCACCGGCACCTGCCACGGCTGCGCCGCCGGCAGCGACACCGCGAGAGACACCGCCAGAGACACCGGCAGAGGCTCCGTCACCTGCAACGGCTGCGCCACCGGCAGCGACAACGGATCGTTGCTCCGGCAACGGCTCCCGGCGGCGAGGGGCGGCGGGCACAGGTGCGGACCCGCGGGAGGGACGCTGAGGGGACAGTGCCCCACAGGAGCGGTGCTGAGGAGACACTGCCCCGCAGGACAGCTGCTGAGGGGACAGTGCTCCACAGGACGGGTGCTGAGGGGACAGTGCTCCACAGGACGGGTACTGAGGGGACAGTGCTGCACAGGACGGGTGCTGAGGGGACAGGGCTCCACAGGACCGGTGCTGAGGGGACAGGGCTCCACAGGACGGGTGCTGAGGGGACAGGGCTCCACAGGACGGGTGCTGAGGGGACAGTGCTCCACAGGACCGGTGCTGTGGGGACAATGCTCCACAGGACCGGTGCTGAGGGGACAGTGCTCCACAGGACCGGTGCTGAGGGCACAGGGCTCCACAGGACCGGTGCTGGGGGCGGCTCGCGGGACCCCCAGGGGCGGGAGCAGTGGCGCGGGGTTCTTGGGTGCAGTGAGAGCCCGAGTGGGCCCGGGCGAGGGCTGGCGTTGAGTGACCCGTGCCCCTGAGCCTGCCCCTCTGTGCTGGGGAGAGTGGAAGTGGGAAATAGCAGTTGCGAGCTTTACTTTGTCCTTCGAGTGTGTTCAGTTTTCTGCTGTGGAAAGATTTGCTTTCTGCGCACCGTGTTTGTGAATTCAGTGCTGAGCAATTGCAAATTGTGAATTCTTGTGGAAGATTTCAGGTGCTGTGACTGTGGGTTACATCTCTGCTGTGATTTGGGTTTACTTGGTCCAGTCCAGTAGTCCCACTGTAGTGAGAACATCCTGGCATGCCAGAAATGTTTCAGTTACTGATTCGTGGAACCCCAATATATATTAACATATACTGTGTTGTTATACAGCGTTAAATCAAAATGGCATCATCATCAAAAGCATCCTTTTCTTTACCTGTACATGACTGTACTGCTCCTTCATTGGACTTTGATCTTCAGGAAAAGTTTATTCTTCACACTCTTGAGGCAAGTTCATTCTGTTGTTAGGCTTGATATTTAAATTGTATTTCTTTTGTTAACATGGTTAAAAATATACTTCCCAGTTATAGATGTGAAGTAGGTCATATTTCAAAAAATGGCTAAGTGACAGTGCAGGACATGGCAACAGTATACTGAAACTATGGCAAAATTCTTCTTTGTTCTTTTCTCCTTACATCATTTGGCTATGATAAATGAATCATGGTGTTTTATCTTCCAAGGTGCTGTTTTCACTGGAAGTAATTAAATTCAAGAACTTGGTTTTGGTTGTATATCCATGAAAAAGCTACACAGAGTCGCACTGTGTTACACAAGTTGAGGTCTGCCAGGAAATTTAATCCTGTAATAAAAAAAGACACACACATACACATATATAAAATAAAAAACCTTAGATGTTTGATTGTACTTATTTGCCTTAAGACAATTGGAAACAGAGCAGTCTGCATTCTGATTCTGTGAGGAAGTGATTATTTAAGATGGGAACTCCCCAGATATGTTACTCATTTTCTCAATTATATGAAGGGCAATATGGATATAAGAACTGAAACTCCTAGTCTGACAAATCCTTTCGATGGAGATGCACCTTGCACAGGCCAAGCACAGGAGAAATGGGTCCTGGTGAGTGGAGAAGGCAACACTTCTGAAAAAAATAATGAGTTGTCAGTGCAGCATTGAGTGGAGTAAACAGATAACTTTGTGCTTGGTGAAGGCATCAATCATTCTGGAGTGCTAGAGTAGAGGCAGGAGAGAGGTGTTTAGAGAAGGGGTGAGGGTGATGACAGGTTGCTGTCATCAGGAGGTGAGGGAATGTGATTCATTTAGGTTTTAGGTCTGATATGGCTCTGGACTTGCCATGGCATGGGCAGCATCATTTTCTTGAGCAGCTGAGCCTGATGAGAATCTTTAATGAATTGGGAAAAGAGGAAAGCCGTTGCTGCCTCCAAATTGGAAGAAGTCTGCTGTGAAAAACAGCAACATTGGAATCTGAGCATGTCTTGGCCTTCATCTTCACTGGAGGTAGTCTGCCTTTGCCTTGTGGATTAAGTGTGTTCTGTGAGCAAACTGTTTGAGGGTACATCCTGTGATATGACAGGCTTTTATCCTTGTTGAAAGTCCTAAATGATTCTGTGATCTTTAAACTTTTTCTTAAAGGATTCACTGAAGGAGCTGACTTGTTTCATGTTTTTATCCTTGAGTTAGCAATATCAGTGACCTAACTGAGAGTGAAACTAAATGTTACATAATTATGAATGCTATTTCAGGGAAAAATACGTGTGCCACCTGGAGAAACAGGAAAACTGTGTTCACTGACTCAGCCAGATAAAAAGGATTGTCACAGAACTACAAAAGCCATCCAAGATGAGAAGTATTTTACTGAGCTGAGCAAAGAATCTGACAGTCTAGAACACCAAGTAAGAAAACATGTAAGGCATAAGCATAGAAACAATGGAAATGTACATTTTTTACGCTAGTCTGAAAGAAACTTGTAGTCATATAATCTTCTTTATTGGACACATTGTGGAAAGTTTTTTTTGTTATGTCCTACACACAAAGAAAGTTCCTAAAACTTTGGAAGGAGTTTGTTGAACTATGTTTGTTCCAACAGGAGGTGGACCTGAGAGAATTCCTGTATAGGAATAGACATGTAGAACTCACACGTGGAACTCACACAGAAACCTGATGGAGTGAAGAGTGTAGATTTCTCTTAAAATTAAATGTAATTTGTCATTACTGACTTTCTTAACTCTTCTGCAGAAGATAACAAAATGGGTGTTTATTCCGAAGTTTATTTTTTAATTTTGAAGTTAATCTTAATTTTCAGGTTTTCATAAACATTGCTAGTTGTCTTACAAGCATGAGGCTTTCTGTTGATCATTCAACAAAAAAAAAGTTCGTAAAGAACAAACTGTGGGGAAGACTGTTTCCTGAGAATGGAAAGATAGCATGAGTAATTTAGGTATGCAGTCACTTCTCAGTTCTGGGGAGCCTTCTAAGTATTTTTGCTGATAAATCAGTGTCAGATCTCAAAACGCCATTCCTGTTTATATGTTATTTTTTTGCTAACAGAAAATCTGACTCAGTATAGTCAGGAAAGATTAGGACTTCTACTAAATACAATGTTCATAAATTTGCTGTGCTTGTGAATGTGGAAACCTGGATGCAGAGTTGAGGTTCATGGATTGATTTTACAGATGGGCATGGGACTGAGATTACAGAACATTATGAGGAATGTTCATACATGCATGCCAGGATAAAATGAAGGAGTTCTAGTCAGATTGTGATACCAAAGTTTCCAACTCGAGTTAGTGGGTTTATCTTCTCATTAGTGAAACTAAAATGTTTTGGATTTACAATCTGAAAGCCACACAAGTCTACTTTTTTAAAAGAGGGAGTTATACACGCACACACACAATAGGATATTTTAAAATAAATGTTTAGTTGACAATATCATGGGCACATAAATTCTACAAAGAGTTAACTCAAATTGATTTTTGTGGTCTTCCACCTTGTGCTTTATGCCTCAGTCTTCAAATTCTCCTAACTGAGGCTCCTGAATGGCTTTAGCATTTAATAGTAGTCTTTGAAATATTCTGAATTCTACAAATGCTTTTACCCTTTAACTACCTGCTTAAATAACACTTACCTATGGTATTTAGAGCCTTTCTAGATAAAGAAATAAATAGATGTATGGAATAACCCTGGTTCATTTCTTCAGGTACAAAGGTCCATGCACAAAATAAATTGAATCTTTAGGTTTTAACCACCAAGTAGCTTGTGAATATGTGAGCTTTTCTAGTCATATGTACCAGGTTTAAAAATGTAGCAAACTATATGTAACCAATTTAAAACCATTGAAAAATAAAAAATCAGTTATAATCAGAAGAAATTTTTAATATTTCCTGTGTTACAGTTAAACAGTAAAAACATTGACACTTGGATGCAGGAGCTATGTGAAAGTGAAATTCAGAATACTGTAAGTAAATTAAAATTTGATTCTCTCTGTTCTGTGCTGAATATCTGAAATTGGCTACCTTATAGAGTCATACAATTTCCAGTAAGAGTGGCAAAGTGGGAGTATTTGTGGTTTACAATCATGAAATTGAATCATAGTTTTACATCTGAAATATTCATCACTGTCCATTTCTGATGCTTTGTTGTATACAGAAATTAAAATAATTTCCTTGTGGTTTTTTTTTTCCTATGAAGAATCTCAGGAAAAAAATACTTGAAAGGGAGAAACAGATTAAAGAACTTTCATCCATGCTCCAGTGTGAAAAAGTGAGTGACCAGTTCCATTAGAATGAATATTTTCTTCCAACACACTAGATTCCCAATTAAAAAATATATAAATTTTGAATAAAACAGTTATTTCAAAGACCTACGTAAAAAGTAAAATCCTGAAAGGTATTTCCTACAGAATTATCTTAAAAACATCAAAACTGTATTCAAGCCAACTAAGGATACATTTATTCTTGACACTAATATCCCAGTGTGGCCTTTGACTTCTCATTTACTGATTTGGAATATTCTGGGGGAAAAGTACTTATAAGGATTAGTATGGAGTAAACTAAACAGCTACTGTTCACAGTTGGTTTCCATGGATCTTCTAGGAAAGGTAGTACAGGCAACAGAGCTAATATCATCAAAGGCTGACAGGTCTGGCAAGAGCTCATTCATTCTTTGCACCAAAAAGAAGGGGCTCAATGCAAAAACCAACACTGAAGAATTGTCCAAAGGGAAAAATTGTGCTGTAGAAGAGGGTACTGTAAAAGTTTGAAAGTTATTTTACTGGTAGTTTGGCAACCTTGATACAGAGTGAATACCTCCAGGGCCCTTTGTGTGTGTGCCATGCAGCATGGTTCAACATTAGTGAGGGACAGTGTAGGCTCAGTTAAACCTTTCAGGGGCAGCAGTGTACTTTGATATTTGTAACTCCTTGCAGGTTTTTAAGAGCCATGGTTCTTCTTTAAGACTTTTGGCTTGTTGTTTGTTTTGTTTTGTTTTGTTTTTTTGCTTAACCGAATGAACATATCACTTGGCTGCTCAGTAAACTTAACCAGCTGGTCATAATAGAGGAGCCTTTGGGGGCTCTTGTCATGTCCTTGTCTTTATCTTGAAGTGAAGGAGCCCATTTTCATGGAAACATCTTTTTGCTTGAGAACAGAAATGCTGAACAGAAAACCCTATCAAAATTCTGAAGACCCCAATGCCAGCAGACCTCAGTGCTGGTGGGATGGATGTATGTGGCATACCATGCCCTGACTGGAGACTACCTAATATTGAACAATTTAGGGTGCTTAGCATCTGAAAGGATAAATAATTTTCTATGGTATCCCCTTTTTCCTTCTTATATTAATTTAAATACATGGCATTTTCATCAACACTTCACTCTATCTGCCTTTCTTACTGGTGTCCATAATGAACACTTCCACTGGTACATTCTTTTAGTCTCTTGCAGTCTATACTGATAATATGATACTTATCTACCTTATTACTTCTTACTTAGAATGAGCCACAGGAATCAAATTGAAAGAAATTTCGTAGAATCATCTGACCTGAGTGCTGGTGACATAAATTTCCTCTTCCCTTATGATTTACACATTCCCCCAAAATTGGAGTTTGAATTAAATGCATCCATAGTTCTAATAGGAGATGGTGGTCTTTGGAATTTAATGAAGGTCAGTTCTGGTCTAATTAGTCAGAGCACAGCTGATCAGTGTGGTTTAGTGTTAGTCATCCTTTCCTTAACCTGGATGCCTTTCCTTAACCTGGATTTCTGAATTCATGCATCCAGACCTTATTCCTGCTACTTAAATTCAGATTAAATATGATACGTAAAATTATACAGAAATTGTTTCAAGTTGGTGACTTCTGTTTAACATTAATACAGTTAGTTGCAAGTTACTGCTTGTGAATATACTTGTAGAGCATGTTTTATCTTTCCCAGGTTTTGAGAACATTCAAATGTCAGTTAGAAACTATGGCATAGTAGAAAAAATAGAGAGCATCATACAGCATAGTCCAATAAATTTATGTTTATCTTTCCTAGATCAAGGTACAGAAAGGGGACTACCTGTCAAGATCAGTAAAGGAAGTACAAGCTCACCTGCAGCATCAGATTGAAAGAAAAGAAGCAGAAAATTATGAATTAAAAGTGAAAATACAGGTCAAAATATTTTTACTTGTGTTTCAGTTTTTTGAAAAAAAAAAAAAAAAAACAAACAACAAAGCCTTGCTGTGACCTGTTTTGAAATTAAATTATTGGTAGAAAAAAATATCCCAGATAAAATCATAAGTATTTATGTTTTGCAAGATCTGCCTGAACATATTATTTGAATTGCAAGGTTGCTTCCTGGTTTTTTTTTTTTTTTTTCTCAACTTATGCACACTTGTACAGTTCTGGTGGAGCAAAGTGAAACATGCATAGACGTGTTTGTACTCACTTAACTGCGCTGTCTAGAAGAAAGTCTCCATATGGTCAAGAGATAAGCAAGCCTTATGGTGACTTCCTGTTCTAGGAGAGCAGTGACAGCCACAGCCTGTTTCTTCTTATTGTCTGTGAAGAATCAATAAACCTCTTAATACTGACTGAAAGTGAAACACTTAAGACTAATCCCTAATCTCACTTTGTTTAAAGTAGGTTAAATTATTTCCATTTTCTGTTCTAAAAAGCACAAGTTAAATTTGGGCATTTGAATCAGTTACTGGCTTTAGAAAAAGGCAAGGAGGAGGTCATGTGTGAAAGGCTGGAGCTGTATGTGGCCTCAGAATACCGTATATGAAACTTGTCAAGAACATAGGCATACGTGAGAAAACATTGTCTGAAAACAATGTATTTCTACTTTCTAAACATTTTTACTAGCATACACCCCTGCTAATTGAAAAATTAGAGATCGTTACCCAACCCATATCAAGGTAATTTCAAATCACATGGCTATGTCTGCATAAATGCCTCATGTTTTCTTCTAAATAAAAATTTATTTCTTGTTCTACCTAGTACAATTATAGAATTCCAACAGCATTTTCATTAGATAAAATAATGATATGCAACTGTTCTGTCATTCAATCTCTATTTAAAAGTTTTGCTCACTTTCAGAAATTGCTGAAGTCATTTGCTAGCTTAAATCCTGGAGATGTATTGTTAATAGCTAGACAAAAGCTAGCAAAAGCTTAGCATTGCCACTATGAAATTCGTTCTCAATTCGAATTTACCTCAGCCACTAATGCCCGAAGCATTTATTCTTAGTGTGATTCTGACCTCCTGTGGTTATAATAGGGCAGAGCAGCTGTTTACTTGTGCTGACAGTTGAAGAAATCCACACGTAGACTGAAATTTTCTGTTTGCTGTGTTTATTGAAGGTGTTTATCCACCACCTCAAGTCACAGCTTTGTTTATTAGGTGCCCTGTAAGCATTTATATAGGAAATCACTTGTTAAATATTTGGGTCTTTTTTGTAATTTCCTTTTTTTTGAAGTAGTACTTCTGCTTTTTGATTAATCCTGAGACCATCTTTCACTTGGAAAACCACATGCATTTTGCTTTGATTCTGGGCTATTAGCAGGACCTGTACTAAAAGATAGCCACTCATGCATAATATGCATATCTTATACCAATTGTCAATGAGTATGTTGAATAAGGCTGGCCCATTAACAGATTCAGTAGTTAGCCAGTAGTACATAATGTAGTGTCAGACCTAGGCTAAATGGAAGGAAATAAATGCATTAATAATTCCTACAATTAGGATATTTATCACTGAACTGAGAAAGCTGACACTGCTGGCTTACCTACATTGCTGGAGTTTGGTGGAAGAATAGTAAGAGATATGAACAGGATTTACACTTGTCTTTATGAAACTAATTGTCTATTGGTAGCTTGGTCATTTTTGATAAGTGGATCTGAGATTCTGCTTGAAACAGTCTGGTATTGCTCTTAATGAATAACATCATGTAGTGGTTTAATGTCTGTAGTTGTTTTCCATTCATATTTATGTCGTATATAGATGAAAAATACAAAAGCAATGGAGTTAGAGAGATCAGCTTCCTGCATGGAATGGGATCAGTCTTCATCAGAGTGATGTAAACACCTATTTGTTCAGAAATAATAACAGCAATAGAAAAGATAATATAATGGCCATGATGGAACCCAGTTCCCATCTTGGCTGCATTGTACATGTTTCATAATATTATTAAATACATTAAAATGCATTTATGCTTCATTGTTTATTAAAAAATACTTTCTTCACTAAAAGAATCTGTGTCGTTAATAAAGTGAGGCCATTTTATGCACAGAAAAAAATTCAGAGATCTTGCAAGAAAATAGTATATTGTAATCTAATCACATATCATAATACATATACTAAAGAAAAATCTCAGCCTTTCCTAGCTTCCTGACTTTAAAAAACACAAATCCAAGATACTAACTTTCATAATAAAATTTCATATACAGTCACACAGCCTATCTCCAGAACTAGTAGTATGTGTGTCACTAGATTCAGAGCACATACTCTGATACATCAGTGCATATCACTGGTAGCATCACTAAGGCAATGCTCTTCGCAGAAATAGTCTGATGAAACCATTTTATTTTCTTCCTCATAAATGAGTTTAACATCTATGCCATATCTTCTACGTGGAAATTCTGCATTCATTTGCAAGAGCACACAGACATGGTTAGATTGCTCTCTTTCCCCCTACTCCTGCCTGTCCCTGCACCTTCTCAGCCTCTTCTTTTCATCTTTGTAATTACTTTCTCTCTGCATTTTTCTTGTCGACTGTTGTACTTAGCTGGCTCCTTGTATCAACCACAAGGTTTGAGATACCAAGATTATATAGAAACAGATGTTATAAATGTAACAGCTCTTCCTATTTATTTTATAGCACAAAATTATCTGTAAGGCTTGGAATTTGAAGAGTTGGTTTTAATTATGTTGCAGACTCTAGAAAATAAAATAGCAGAGTGGAAACATCAAATTGTTGAATACAAGGGCCAGAAGTTAGCCTTAAAGGAAAGAAGTGAGCAAAAGAAGATAGCTCTGGAAAAAGCAAAAAGGTTCCAGAAACAACGAGCTCAACACTTAGAAGAAGCTGTGAAAGATGTAACCTCTAAAATAAAAGAACATGTAAGTGACTATGCTGTGAGCAATGTTGTGTTGTATTGTTTGAAATTGAACAACTAAGAGACTTTCACCTGTGGAAAATAGAAAACATTTGTTTGGTTATGCTGTGCTTTTATGTCTTTCATTTTGTTGCTCATTTGTTAAGGAAAATGTTGCTGTAGGTGTCCTGAAAGTCATTACTATTAACTGCTTTTGTTTTTTTAAAATTTAGTGGTTGTCTTAAGTCAAGAGGTTGAACATTTTAAGCTGTAGGAAATAAGAGGAGTCTCATCAGCTTATGGTTAAACCTCTCTCCTGGTCTTCCTGTTAATCCTCTATGGATAAGCACTGACTAAGTCAGAAATACAGTGTATTGAGAATCCATGACTGAGGTTTGAAGTGTTAGTTTTCTTTATTTATTAATATATGATGACTCATGTGGTTATTTAGTTTTTTGTTTCTAAGCTGCTTGCTCTGAGCCTTTTCAAAATCCAAGCATAAAACTTCTTTAATCCAAGTTGTTCCTTGGAATCTTGCTTTGCCTATCAATAGTTTGTAATTGTTCACAAAGGCCAGGTGCATCAGAACTGTGTTTATTGACCTATTTGGATTTCCTAAGAAGAATATGTTTTCATACTCTTAAATGTGTTGTAATCATTTTGGGTATGTCAGTATTAAAGATATATTTTTCCATATAGTGTTCCAGGAGATGATTAATAATAGTTTTTGTATTCTTGGATCTTTGTGAGAAGATAATAGTGGGTCTTTAACAAAAATTAGCAGTACAGAGGGACAGCAACTACCTCCTGAACTTCTGACTTTTTGTAGTCACACTTGTTTTCTTCCTCATTAAAATCCTGGTGTACTTTCAAGATATCATGTATTGGATAATTATCTATATTAGTTTAAGGGATCTTACCTAATGTTTCATTTCTTACCTAGCTAGTGGTTTTCATACTTAAAATATTTTGGCACAATTTTATTTATTTATTAATTTATATAACTTATATGTAGTTGAGATGTATTGAAGACAAATTTTTTTGTAAGAAAAGATTGCCATCTTAAATTTTGAAATGTTGTATTCTACAGTTGATATACAGTACCAGTGTGCTAACTATGTCTCTGCCTTGAAATAAGTCTGTTCATAGACTTTGATTTTTTAAAAATATGGGTAGTTTTGTTGATTTTATTTTGAGAGGATAGAAAATTTCTATTGATTTGTACAAGGGAGATCTAATAAAACTATCTTATATTAAATATCTCTATTATCTAAAAACTTGTAGAAGTATATGGCATTCTTCAGTGGCATTCCTTTGTTACATAATTTATAATTTCTGCATTCTCTAGGAAGTCAAACTGCATGAGATACTGTCAGCCTCTGATGTCTGGAAAAACCAGCACGATAGAATAGTTGAAGAAAAGACAATGCTAGAAGTTCAAATTGAAGCTCTTGAGAAGTAAGTAGGACTGTTGGTCTTTTTTGTTTATTTCTTTCTGAGGTCACGGGGTGTTGATATTTAGTAGTGCAATACTCATTGTTGACAATGTAAATGAGATTATTAATATTTTAAAATTCTGAGCAGAATTTGGAAGTTGGAAATAAGAACAAGTTTAAGATTTTTAGCCTTCTCTCTGTTGCATTTCACTTCTTTTGAAGCTTTATTCCCCTTTACCAATAAGGAACATATTCCTTTCCCTGCATACTTCTGATCAGCCTGAACTTGCTGGCAGCTCCTATGTGGCCTCCACATAACCACCTATTTAATAACTGATTCAACAGCTTGAGCGTTAACCCTTGTGTTTACAGAATAGAAGAAGGTTCTTTGTCTTCTAGGTCCTACTTCAGACTAGAGATGGCCAAATTATTTCAGTTCCACTAATGTCTCAACTCAGTAGAGGATAGAGAAGGATTCCTCTCAGCTGCCATTCAAACAGGTCACTCATGTAAGGAAAAGCAGAACAAAGTTATCCAATCTTATTCAAACTACACAGTCAAATCTTAATGTACATTAAGGATAAATTATTTTTTAGGCAGACAATGACAAATATCCTTTTACCATTTCTGTTGTTCGAAATATGGACAATAATTTAAACCAGCAAAAGAAACTGTTAGATGCTTTATCGTAGGTCCAAGGCAAAGTTTATTTCACAAAAAATTTGCGTCATACTCAAGTATTAAACAGTTCACATTAAAATTACTTAAATATTTTGGTTTTGTCCCAGAAAATCTGTCATTTCTGAAAATACTTGCAGTAGATTTTAAAATTTAACCAGAGGGCAGGTAGATGACATCAGTCCAGAAATCTGTCTAGCCCACATCGGTCCAGTGTATATAGGAAAGCATCTAAGAAAGAATAAATACTCATTCTGCTTCCAGCTGATTTTTGCTGTTTTCATTTCAGCTGAAAAATGCAAGTTTTTGCTTGAAATGTGCCATTCTAACAAGACTTGTTCTACTAAGCAGTGTATGGCTGACTAAACAGCAAAACAAATTTTGTGAACTTTATTAACCAAAAAAAAAAGGCAAAAAATGAGGCGTAGCATAATTTGCTGCTTTTAATAATGGAAAGTAACTTTCCTAAAGTAGCTAAGGAGTTAATGAGTGTTCTTAGTTGGACATTATGTGATATCCCCTATAAATTCAATATAATTACATTTTGTACAGTGTACATAAGCACAGTTCTCTTGGAAGTAATATTTGGTGTTCTATAATTTAGCTAAGACACCTTACTTGGAGTAGAAACTCCCCTCTTTCAGAGAGTTTATTTCAGAATATAAGTAGATAATCCTTTCTTTGGATGCATAAATGAATTCCCCCTTTTATATATATATATATATATATGTACACACACATATATATACACTATGAAGTATATATATATATATATATGTGTATATATATATATACTATGAAGTATATATATGTGTTAAGGTTCAATTTAATTTTCATAGTGAGAGTTTTGGAAGCATTGTGTATTATAGAGAACTTGCCTGTCTAACAAGGCAGATCAGAGACCTGATGGAAGACATGGAAAAAAGGGAGGAATGGAGAAGAAACTCAGAAGAGGAAATTCTTGGAAAGCTAAATTCTCTTAACTCTGAAAATGAAAAGATTTACCTTGAAAACAAAAAATTAAAGGTGAGATTATAAATCATTGTTTAATGGCTCTACATATCTCATACATTAATGAAGTAACCACATTAATTCTCTTTGAACCTTCTGTCTAGGGACCCCAGACCTGCAGAATAAGGTTTGCCATCCATTTATAATATTAAGGACAAAGGAGATACTGAAAATTTTCCAGTGGAAATTTATGGCAAAGTTAGGAACAGGGTTGTCTGCTGATATATCTGCTTAATCAGGATGCTGTTTATCTTACTGTCAATAACTGCACAATTGCTTAAGTAGAAATTCTTTTATGTTTGTTAAACTTTCTTTCAAATTAAAAAACTGAGTTTGCCTCAATTATTAATGTCAATTTTGAAAGAGTTTGCAGGTTTTTATTGGCTGATATAAGTGTTCTGATGAGCTGACAAATGAACTATAGACTATCATTTTTGTTTGACAGGAAAAATACTTACATCACTCTTCCTAGTGCCAGCAAGTCACTTGCTGGTAATATTGTATTGTAGAATGCATTATTTTAGTAACACTCTTAAATTTTTTATATTTTCTATTTATGATCAAGGCTTCCCTTGCTATGCTGGAGAAAAGTACAATGTCTGTTGAATATGAGTTGCTACATATGCAAGAAAAAGCAAAGCTGCAGGAAAACCTTGTAGAACACCATAAATATGAGGTGACTTACCATGTTTGAAATCTTCAAGTATATTTTTTAAAATTTGTAAGCCATTTTGAGGAAATGATCAAGGTTTTGTTTGCAATAAACCCATTTTGTTGTAATGGGGATTGTAATATTTTTATAATATTGACTATTACAGACTATGGAAGAGTAGTCTCCACACAGTTACAAGTACACATTGTCTGTACTGAATTGTGTGATGCCCACTTGAAGCTCATTGAAGAATCTCAAAACAAGAGTCTCAAATCTTGTTTCTTCAAGACAAGATTGCTTTGACCAGATTTGCTTGCTAAAAAGTGGGTTAGTGATCTAGTAAACTAGATATTCAAAAAGTTTGAGTCTGATGTCTTCAGTGGATATACTGATGATATTTTACCTAAATTTGGCCATTTTGTATCTTCATGTTCCTAAGAGCATATCAGTGCTTAAGTATGTTCAAGAAATCCAAGTTCATTCAAGAAATATATATTAGGGTTATAGTTATGAGTATAGGGTTATATGAGTTGTTTTATTTCAGTGGGCAAATCCACATAGAAATACAAGTGAAACAAATAAACCAAAGTTATAATGCGCTTTTTATCAATTAATTTTTAGTATTTCACTTTATTCACACAGAAATTTTAGAACATTGATTCAGATATGTATCTATTTATGCTATAGTATAGACACAATTTCACTGACATTCTTCACTTACTTTTTTTTTTAATCCTGACAAGGGACAAGAGAAAAGAAATACGTGATACAAAATCTAGAGTAGAGCCCGAGAGCCTTGTCTTTGGAATGCATCATCATGATTAAAGTTGCTGCCAGCTTTAAGATGGTAGATGTAGTTCCAGGTAACAGCTAGCCTTAAGCAGTGAGTGGAGTGTAATTCCCTAGCTCAGGCCTGTAGCGACTCCAGATGGGAAGTGTCAGTGACAGTTGTTATGTGGGGACAGAGGTGTGGGTCATGCTGGCTGCTTCTACAGCACAACCGTAGCTCATTCTCCATTGTTGATAACACACTGCTGATATGACAGTGCCCTTTACCTGGTAACCCTTTTGTACATGCTGTGACAAGTAGGATAATGAAAATAAGTAACTTCAAATAATGACAAACTTTGAGATATTATTTAGAAGTCAGAGGTTTTCCTTTATGCTTCATACTAATGATTCTATCTTTTCTGTATTTAAATGAAGGACCTTGCAAATGTATGTGAAAAATGTATGTTGTCCTAGGTACAAAAAAAACAAATTGCAGTGGAAGAATTGAAATCCAGATGTGAAACAGTCTTAAAGGAAAACAAAAAAATAACAGAAAACAAATGCTTAGAAGCAGATAAGGTAAGTTTTGCAGTAGTAAAGAATGTATACAAACAATTCTGTAGGACACAGATATTTTCGACATTTCTGTGATCTAGTTAGAAGTCACAAGGTGCTATCTCTTGGTTTTAAATTTCTGAGACTTTTACTGACTGCTATCTAAAGCTGGTGGTTTTTGGATATTACACAATTGCAAACAATTGAGCAATTATTCCTACTGCAATTACTAAGTAGTTTAGCTACTATTTTACAATTCCAGTATTCCTTTAACACTTTCAAAAGTGTGATTTTATGGCGATAATTTTGAAACTATCTTCTTGACAGAACAGTTGTGAAAGTTGTACATGGAAGCAAACCTATTGTAGGTCCTTTTATTTTTAACTAACAATTAAGATTGGGACTCCATACAGAGATGAGCTATAAATTTTTCAGCAGATGGAGCTGAACACTGGAAGACAACACATTCTTAAGCATCAGGAACAAACTTGTATCTTTGTCAATATTTTATAAAATAGATGATATGTAACTTGTATAGAATTTTAGGTTTATTACCTACATGAAAATCCATTAAGTATTACAATTAATTTATGGTTTTACATTTACATTTTTCTCCTGTGATGCTACTATGTAGTTGAGGCACAAAATGGAGGCCGAGTTAAAGGAGTTAAAACACGTTTGTGACTTGCTGAAAGCAGCTGAGGAAAACCAGCAAAAGCTTCTGGCCTGGGAAAGGATCTGTGCAGAGAAATGCAAAACCCTCAGGGAGCTGGAGCTTCAGGTGGTTAGAACATGCTGATTTCTAAAGACAAATGAGAAAATTATGTGGAAAAAAAGTCACTGGGGCATTTTTTACTATCGGCATGTGTGACAGTAGTGAGGTTTTCTTCATAATCAAAAACTTCTGTGGAAATCAGATATGCAAATAAAACTGTTGCCAACTGTATTTATGTGAATTCATTGTCTGGCAAGACTTGTAACTTTTAGAATGAGTATATTTCTGATCTATCTGAATACATGTGTCCTGAGATGTGTTGCAGAATTCTTCCTTGGAAATAAATGCAAGTCTAGGTATTTTTTGTATCTAGTAGAATAATTTAATTATACATTACTTTTGTTTTTAATGACAAATTTATAAACCATACAATATTTAATCAGATAAATTATATTCTAGATGATGTGTAACATTTTAAAATGTTTTAGTTGAGTAAATACTTTTAAAATATGCTTTAATGGGATAATTTTAATCTTTAGCTGTATTTAACACTAATGTTTGTATTTTCTCTAAAGCCTGAAAATGAATTTTCCTCTACTCTTTTCTTCTCTGACATCAATTTCTATGGCAGGGTAGGTTTGGTTTTGTTGTTTTTTTTTTTTTTTTTGTGTTTTTTTTTTTTTTTTTGGTTTGGTTTTTTTTTTTTTTTTTTTTAATGTGCTTTTAAGTTATAAGAGCACAAATGACAAAGGTTTTTAAGTTAGTAGGTTGGGAAAGGGGCCTAATCATCCTGCTGTGTCAGTAGGAAAACTACAGCTGAAGTACTGTGAGTCTCTGTGGTCCTGTAGACTTTATATAAAACATTGCTCTTGATTTTTGATTCTTCCAGGAATGTTCATAAACTCTTAAATCTTAAAGTACTTAAGCAATTATTAATTTTGAGGTACAAAATTTATACAGCATATAAAATGATGTATGTAATTTTAATCTAACTACATGTTTACTTGAAAAAGTGCAGAAGAACCTCTTAAGTATAGCAAAATAATTGGGAATATAATCACTAGTCTGGTGGAACAGTAGTTAAATATCAGCATTAAGTCTTGGTGATTGATGTACTTTACCCTTGACTCTATGACCAGAATTTAGTTAAATTAATTTTGGAGCAATTGCTCCTTCTGTAGAAAACCTCTCTGAGGTTCAGCTGAACTAATTTCTGCTGCTACCAGTCTGCTGCCACCTGAACAGCCTGTAATTCTGATAAACACAATCAGGCAGGTGAGCTCAAATTGCTGGATGGGACTGCTTGAGGTGGTCCAATGAATGGTGGCGGTCACCCCTTTAAATGACGACGCCCACAGGCTGTTGATGTGCCTGTTTATTGCTAACAGGCTGTTGATGGGTGGAAGAAGGAGCAATAATCTCATTGCTTCTGAGATTTGAAAGAAAATGTATAAAGTTTAGCACTCTGGGTGCTGGGCAGGAGAAGACTGGTTTCTTGCTTCCTTCAGCTTCTGCTGCTTATGTATCTCTTTTCATGAACTTGATTGTCTTTTTTGATATATTCTCTTCTTTCTGAAATTCTTTGCCAGTGCTGCACTGTTCTCCTGTGATAATCATATGTATATGCAGTGTTATTTTTATCCTCCCTGTGACTGTAGTGTGAGGGAGCCTTTTTTGCTGGTCAGGTAGACCTGACCAACTCCTAATACACAAGGCTGCATGAGCAGCACATGGAGTTTTTTAGGACTTTGTTACATAGCAGGTTTTCAGCCTTAAAGCATTCACACAAAATTTTAGTCTCTAACTTTAGCTGTCTTTTACTAATTTAAGATAATTATACAAGGTACAATAATGCAAGATAACATTTACTTGATTATAATAAGCATTTGTCTGAATGAAGATAGCATTTATCTGAAATTACAGTTAAATTTTTTGATGGGTTTTAATAGACAGGCTTACTTTACTCCAGTAAGAGCCTGTATACAGGTCTTTTCAACTAGAAACAAATTGTCATTTTCACAGGATAAACATAGTGTAACTTTTATGGGCAATCTTTGCTTAGAGGAAGAGATCTGTAACATTCAGAAGAAATATGAAGATCTTCAAAGGTAACTTGAAGAATCTGATTAAAATTCATTCCTACACTTTTCTGCTATAGAGAATTATAATGCACTGATCTGTTTCACGTAAAGGCAATTAGGGCAGATGGAATATCAGAGTGAAGAACTTGCTTACCAGCTCACAAAAGAAGATGAGATTCTTCAGAGTAGTAAATTGCAGCTTGAAGAGAAAATTGCAGAATATAATGCATTAACCAGGCAACTTGAATCTGCTTTGGAAGAAGGGAAAAAAATGGTATTGGTGCTTTAATACGTCTCTCAATCTATTTTGCTACTTTCTATTTTAAAATAGCATTAAAAATAAGCTTGAGAAAAAATTATGGAACAATTTTTTGTCCCTATTTTGCATGTAGAGAGAAATACTCAACAGTTACTATTAATTTCTGCATGTTTGAAATATGGATGGAACAATTCAATTTCTTTGTCAAATTTGGATACTATGGAAATAAATACCAAGTTTCAATTTACCAACCTTTTATTATAATTTTTTTAATTGACAAATCAAAATTCTTTAACCACCTTATATTAAATCCCACACATACGGCAAAAAGTTACTGTACAAAAGCTTAATTTTACCTTTTATTTTCTCTAGTTTAAAAGTCCACAAGAACGTTTGTGTTGAAATCCTTCTCTTTTTAGAGGAAGAGTTTGCATTCATTCTGTATTAAGCAGAATTTTACAATTTGTAGAAATTATGCAAACAGTCAATCAAATTCCAGAGGAAATGTAGGAATTTGGATTGTAATGAATTATATTAATTTAATCAGAAAAAATGTGTGAAGTTGCAATTTCAGGTTAAAAATGTAGAAATAACCATCTGATTTTTTTTTCACTATTAAGGATATTTCTTTCATTTTGAGAAAACTAGAATTTTGGATTAACCTGAAAATAAGCTAAAAAGTGTTCCATTCCCACTGTATTTCATTTTTTTTCCAAACTGAAACAGCTTTCAAATTTAGCCAGAATATTTCTCAGGTTTGTTTAAGTCCTGGGCATGGGAAATAAGTTAAATATTCAATTAAATAATAAGAAATAGAGCTATTAATGTTAAGAGATAAGAAAATAATTTGATTTGTGCTTTAAGAGTAAATAGATATGTAATATATATATATATTTATAAATATATTGTATAATATATAATTAATTATATAATGTAATTTATAAATATTATATATATGTATATATAAAACATATATATTCTTTCTCTCCCATTACTTTTATAGGTAGCTGAAGAATGGGAAAAAATGTCATACAAAGAGCAAGCCTTTCAGACAAAACTGCTACTTCTTGAAGATGAAGTGAGAAAGAGGCAAGAACAAAAAAAACATCTCCTCTTCTTATTTCACCATGTGAGTAAATAATGCTGTTTGTGATTTAAGAAATCACTTACCACATCACCATTTACAAAAACAGGTTCCTTTTACTGAAAACAACTACTAATACAGTTGGTACACACTTTTCAGAACTGTAAATTAAATCGACTTGACAATATACTTTGTACATTGACATTTCCCATCAACCTAACAGATGTCCAGTCTAACTAAATCACTTGAATAATATTGTGTTGACAACTCTTAGTCAAGTTTTCCCAGCAAGACAAAAAAAAGGTATGAAGTTGTAATTTCCCTCAGATCAATTGTGTTTATTAAGCATATCTATATTTGATTAGATGCATAACAATCCCATAATAATATACTGATAGCTTATTTTCTTTCCTGAGTTAATGACAGTAATCTGAATTTACAATTTTTATAAAGTACTGTAGGACTTTTTTTGGTTTTAAGTCTCTCCAAACATGTTCAGTTTGGTCCTGACTGAACATAAATAAAAACTTCAATCTCTTGAAGCCTTTTTTAGCACCTTTGCTTTTGTGGAGCCTCTGAAAACTTTTGCAGGTAAATAAAGCTATAAAAATTAGGTACTTCATGTCTTAGATTATTATTTTGATTGCTTGATTTTTTTTCCAAGTTTCTATGCATTTTTCTTTTTTCATTAGAATGAAAAGCACTATGAAGTACATTTGAAAGAACTGGAGAACAGCCTACAGAAGTCAGTGATCAAGAACCAGATGATCCAGAATTATGTGCAGTTTTTGAAAGATGCATATGTAATAATGTTTAGCTGAATTCTTTAATCAATTTTATAGTAAAGAAACTTGTCAAGATTTGGCTCCCAGTCTTGTCAGAGGCAAAGCCATTGAGGCCATACATTAAATGTCAGATTAAATTTTTTTAAGTTAATTCTTCCCTAGGAAAACATCTGTTGTGGGCAGGAGAAACAGGTCAGTCATTGCTGTATATCCTGCTGGCTGGTCCCAGAGGGGAATGGAGCTGATGTTCCTGACAGAAACCATTGTGTTATCCATGGCATAGCAGTGCAAAGGCCAAGTGCATGACAGCAGCAGCAGGTGTAGGGTATGCACACAGAATTGGTCTGTGAATGTGCTGGGCTGTAAAATCATACCTGAGTCCTTTTAGCCCATGGTAAATGCAGGTGATCACAGATTATCTTTCAATTCAATATCTAACATACTAAAACAGGCAAAAATTGAGAACATTAGGTTTCTTACCCTTTTTGCCCTACAGTTTAGCCTCAGTATAGCCCTACATTATGTGGGAGAGTAGCCACCACAGGGCTGTCGCATCCAGCCATTTTCCTCTACATCTTATCATTATGCTTAGGAATACACTATACTAGTAGGAAAATTTTTTAGATACAGGTATAGTTTAAGCTCTGAATGTGCTGATATACCCTGGTGACAGAGCTACAGTGAGATATTTAAGTATTTGTTTGAGTTCAAGAGCTGCTGTTGAATAAGATTGACTTGTGCCTTAAGTAAAACACATGTAAATATTCAGCTGATACAGGATTAATACAAGAAAAAATTCTTGATTTAATTTCAGTTCTAAATTCTAATTAGTTTTGTAGATATATGCTATGATATGTTTTTTAAAAATAGTACATTCAGTTAAATAGTACAAAATAGTACAAAAATAGTACATTCAGTCTGTGATTTACAATGTGTACTTAAATAATATATATTTTTTGACCAAAACCTTAAGTTTGTTTATGCATAGACAATACCCATTCCATTTCATTGTTAGTTATTAGTAATATATTGAATATGGACCTCTTTTTTGCAAGTGCTTATCCATCTTAACAAATACTGATGTGTGCTAATGATCTGTTTCTGTGAAATTTCCTAAAATAAAATTGTCATTAATTCTATATGACATGTTAGTAGCAAATATTTATTTTAAATTTGGGTGGTTTACATTGCACACACAAATATTTGGATTCATTTAGTTCTGATTGTGCTACTTATAAAATAGCAAAACCTTTTTGAAAGCCATCATGTATGAAGGAAAATGTTCAGAAATAAATTGTTCAATCCAGTGCATGAGTGGTTTTCCAAAGTTCATACTGAAAAACTGTACACCTTTCATTAGATTTTGTTTTTTTCCTTTTTAGTTTGTTTTGTTTCTTTTTATGGTTCTCTGTTACCTTTTCGTTTGTGTGGAGGGAGGGGGGGTTTGCATGGTAGAAATAAGGTTGATAGTCACAAGGATCATTTGGTTTTACTCAGATCCTTTTTGAACTGGTGTTAGCTTATCCTGTCTTTTGCATTTTAAAAATTAATTTAAGACAAGTTATTGTGGATTATTTTTTTATAATAAAGAAAATAATAAAATTTTGTCTAACTACTGAGGGATCTAGCATTTACTTGAGATTGCTGCTTGATTTTTAGTAACTGTGTAATGTATAGCTAAATTAGTTATTGCCTTGTTCATTTTGCAGTATAGAAATCTGTATGCTGTGCCACAAAGTTATTTGATACAGCTGTACTGATTTGACTGCATTTTGGGATTCTACTATTTTTCTTTAAAGGAATTTACTTTTACCATCTGCATAACGTAGCAAAGTGACACAGTTTTATAGGAAGAAATGGACGAATTATGCTTGCTTTTGGGGGTGTTGTCTTCTCTAACAATTTTAGAAGCCTTTGGTAAGAACGGTATTGCCACCATCTCACCTCTCAGCCTTTTTTGCTGATGTGATTTTAATTTGTCATTTCCCAAAAAAAAAAAAAAAAAAAAGCTGAATATGCTGTTGCAGATTTCAAATACAGTCAGATTAAACATCTTATTGCTGTAAGTATGGACAGAAAAAGTATGAAATCCAAAGTTCCTGGTCTACACTGTGCTTGTTTTTGTGATGATATTTTGAGTCAGATACTCTTCTTTCACAGGGCCCATAGCAGGAATGTTTCGCTTCTGCTGTGCAGAAAGTCCTTGGCCAGAGATTCTGTATAAAAGTTTGACCGTGCTTTTAGTGATAATCTCTTCCAATAGAAAGAGATTTTAGCTGGTTAAGAACAGAGCAGAGAAAGAAAAAAATATTCAAACACTATATTCTCTATCCCAGTTTATTTAGATTTCTTAGTAAGAAGCCATTTTTACTGTAGGCTTACTAAGGTACACAGTCAAATGTACATTGTGTGTCTTGTAGAATTTTTTTTTTTTTTGAAAGGGTTTTGAGTAATTTTTAGCAGAAGCTGGCTCAGTATGATCCAAGGTATGTAAGAGAACCCATAGCTGAACTGATGCCAAGTGTTCTTGTAAATCAAATCAAAGTCACATGCAGTGTTACAATATCCCCCCTATATTTGTATATTGCTTTATTTGCTACCCATGTTAATAAATTTGTTCCTTCTTTTTTTTTCCTGCGGAGTTTTCCAGAAACTACTTTAGTGTAATTGCTATGGATCTGCTTTTAAATCAGTTTATTGAGACTCTGTCAGCAGAATATCAACAGTTTAAAAGGGTATTTCAGTTCTTGATTGGTCTGCACACGCAGAAGGTAGCCAGGAGTTAAGGAGCTGTTAGGGTGAGGATGAGTGTGCTCAAACCCCTTCATGAGCAGTGTGCTGCTGCTGGCCAGGCAGGCATCAGCTGGGCAGGAAGAAACAGGCTCTGGGAAGCAAACCTGACTCTTGCTAGTAGCTTTCAAAACCACATTTTAAAATGTGGTTCAGAGAAGACACCACATTTGTATCTGTAGGTGCCCCTTTGTCAGCATGGGATGCACTGCTGCACAGGTTTCATAATGGGACAGGATTTCAGAGTTACAATAAATGAAGTGATTTGAGGTTGTGACAGATTCACTTTCTAGCCAGTACATTTCCATATTCAATTATAATTTCATGGCTTTAATTAGGTTAAATTGTAAGCATGTAGAGTCCTGAAACTGGCAGATCTTTAAGAGCTGACCTGGATTCCCTACTCTCTACTGCAATCTTATATGCTTTAGATTTGTTAGAGCGTGGGAACACAGAATTTAAACTAAAGAGCATAAGTCTTAGGGCTACTTGGGATGCTACCTCTTTAATCCTGTCTGCCAAGAGGTTATTAGTGGCTTCAGTTTGACAAAATATATTTTTTGTTCCCTGTCTATGTCACAACAGCTGCTATAAATTCTCCTGTCAGATAAAGTTTTTCCAGTAAGAGCAGAAATACTCAATTCTTTTGTACCAGACACATGCCTCCCTAAGGGATATCTTTATAGAAGATACACAGTGATCGCTGAGCTCCGTATGGATGAGTCCTCAGTGGAATGTGATAAGTTATTAGCCTATCAGCAACCCTTTTGAGAAGTTACTTTGTCTATTTAATAGTGAATGGAATCAATATTTGGGTATCTGGCAAAGTTTAGGGAGGGATTGCAGCGCAAAGTGGTTTCTGCTAGAAATGTGTCCCATATTCTGACTCAGAAAACAGCCAGTGAAAGTTTCAGTGGATCACTTTAAGGTTGACATAGCTCAAACTTGTATCTTAAGGCCAGAAAATGGAGAGCACTGTGTTGATGCCCATCAACTGGGAATTTAAGCAGTCTAAAACATGAAATTATTGCAGTCATGCAGGTCATGCCTTTTGGTTCAGAATATTTTCCTGTCTGCTTCTGGATGAGCAGCAATCATACAGCAGCTGTCACTCAATAGTAAAGCTTCCAAAAGTTGAAGGTGGCATGTTTTATACTGCCATTCATATCTATCTGCACCCTTCACTCAGGATTTCTGATATAATGCTCCTGGCTTTCAACCTTTAAATAAGGCTGTTACAGCTACTAAGAATCCAAAGGCAAATCATCCCAGTGACAAGTAAATCATTCCCCCTCAGAGAAATCTAGTGTCTTTTAAAAGCTGGGTTTATTTGGAACATTATATAGTTTCCAGGAAGGAAATGACTTTTTTTGAGTGTTTGACAGACCATATCAAGTACCTGATCAACATATTGTAATGCTTTCTTGGCACGTTAATCTACTTAATTTGAAAGCAATAGGGAAAAAGTAGTGACTTTTATGTGTAGAGACTGCTGTCTACCTCTTGCAGCAGAATAAACATAGCATTTTGTTGGCTGTAAAACTGTACCTTCCAATTCACTGACAACACAAATATTTTGTGTGCCACTCTGCCTTTCAGTAGTGCTACTAAAAATTGAAACCAGGTCTTACTGGTTAAGTTTGTCGTGCTTTTTACCCAGTTCAATCTTTCAAACAGATCTTTGATAACATCTAATTTCTAGAGCAGCTGTTAAAGATCCAACAACCATCTCCCATCAACGTTTCTGGCATGAGGAGCCCTTGTTCATTATCATGGTGACCACATTCCTATTCTTAGCAAAGCTTCTCCTTTGCAGAGCAGCAGCCTACTCTGCTGTGGCAACAGTCCACTTACTAATTTACAGCTCCACCCACTAAATGCCAGTATGAATTATAAACTACTGAAGTAAACCATGTATTTTTAACAGCCTCAATTTTACCATCATGGCTGTTTATAAAAGTCAAAGACATTTTTGAAGTGCAAAAATGCTAAGTTGGCATTTCAGGTTGTTCTCAGGACATTTGCTGTTCCTCCACAGTAAGGTTTCCCCTTCTTCTTTCTCCTTGAGAAAATCAGTATATTAATATGCTCTAAAACACAAACTGGTTTATATCAACATTTCATTCTCTTTTCTAGAGGAAAAAAATCTGGGGAAATCTGAAGAAAGAGCCAAACTTAGGATCTTTCAAGTATTTCTGCAAATCCTTTGCAAGAGTGGAAAAAATATCCAGTTGCTTTCCATTTCAAATAACTTTCCTTCTTTTATTAAGTCTTGTTTTATTAAGATTGTGGTTCAGAAGAAATTTCTCATGGATATTTATAAATAGACAAAAATGGAGTTCAAGTTCTGTGAGTGTTCAAATATTGCCCTGACATTTACTGTTGTCATTCCAATCCTTTGTAACTCAATGCGGTTACAGTCAAGCACCAACATATTGTAGAGCATGTATGATGCAGGAATAGACATTTATATATTTCTTTGCATACTTGTATTTCATGGGAGATTTCCCCAGATAGGAGCATTCAGAGCTGGCAGCCCTGTGGATTTCTCTTTCAGTGTGCACATATAATAATGGAGGGAAAGCTTGTCTTCTAGTGACATGTTTCTAATAGACCCACCATTCCAAGATCTAAAGCAAAAAGAAGCTCAACAGAATGAAAGAAATCCCAGCAGCAGAAACAAAAACTCCATGCTGCTGTGTAGTGCAAGATAATCTTTGAATCCTCCTAGGTACTGTTTGTGGATAGAATTCTCGGCATGGTTCCACTCATGAACTTAGTGTGTTTAAGCACTACTCCTGTCTGCTAGGGATACTGGGGACAGTATATATCTGGGGACAGTGGTACTGCAGTGCCTAATTTTCATAAAATGCTGCTTGCTAGATTTTAGCTTTTCTGGCTTCAGTTAACCCAAATTAATGTCTGGGAAAAAGGCAAATTTTATAAAATAAACCTCCTTTCTTTCTAGCAGCCTAATAATTTCTCCGTTCTTAGCACTATATCTGGTTTTAAGTGGTGATATAAAATCTTCAATTTCTCTTTGTTTTGCCACTGTATTTAATGAACTACAATTTTGTGTTAAAATAGGAACCTTTTAGGAAACTCACATTACTTGGTCTTATTACTCTCCACAGTTTCTAAAGGACACGTTGGTGATGTGTTGTGCTTTCTTTGAACAATGTGGAAATTCTTGAAGCGGCTTCCTTCCTTTTAGATTTTTTTCCAGGCAGAAAAAAACAGTTTTAAATAATTTTCTAAAACCTATTTTGGAAGCCAGATCAGAGTTAGATTGGAGTCACCTTTGCACACATTAGAGTCTAATGCCTGAATATGCTAGTCCAAGTCAAGT